ATCACAGTGCCACAGGCTCCCCTAGCTGGTCCCACCCAGTTCCTGCCCCAACTGATGAGATTCTTTTAAAGAGCTCATAGGAAAAATTCCACCCCGATGCAACACACCCGAGAGGGGGCAGGAGCAGAGTTGGGTAGATGCTGATAAACCCAAGTCAGATTGTGGGCACAGAGTAGGAGACCCCGCCCTACAGAGCCTCAGCCCCAAGCTGGTAGCAAAGCGAATACAGGGAAATGATCCTGCCTTCCAGCTGGGAATCCCCAGATGTCCTCCCCTACAGGGCAGCTGCTCTGCACAAAGGATGCCCCCCAAATGCCTCAAATACTAACAGAAGTCAGCTGGACTTGAAGCAGTGGAGTGGGAGGTTAAGGACTATCCAGAATCACTGCGCTATGCATGAACGATGCAGAAAAGGAAACAATGCCTCGTCCAAGAAGGAGAAGATAGCGCCATCTCCTACCAGCAGTCCACACAAACACCACCACCATGTAGACGGGGATCTAGGAAACCTCAGACCATCGCCCCTCCCTTCCATCTCACCAGGGGTGCCAATGTCCCAGCACCTGCTGTGGCAGGCATCACACTCACCCTCGGGTGCGGGTCCAGACAGCAAGGGACCATGCGGTGTGGAGGGAGAAGAGTCTAAGGCTTGGAACTATGACTGGATTTGGATCTAGGATCGACGACTTCCTAACAACATGACCTTCTGTTGAATGGGGATAATGCCGCCATGCAGTTGCTCTGAAGATGTAAGGGGATGAAGGGGCTCCTCTCATTACAGTAACGCGCCCCTGGGAGGTTCTCTCACCCAAGTCAGGCCCTGAATACTTTATTAAAATAAGACATCAAAAGGACAAGACATGGATGCTGCTGCAGAGGTGGAGAAAAGGAAATGCTTCTTCACTGTGGGTGGGAATGTAAATTGGTGCAACCACTATGGAAAACAGCGTGGAGTTTCCTCAAAAAGTTAAAAATAGAAGTACCCTATGATCCAGCAACTTCACTTCTTGGTATATACACAAAGGAAACAAAGACTCGATGTTAAACAGATGTCAGCACCCCATCTTCACGACATGGAAGCAACCTACGTGTCTGCTGATTGATGAGCGGATAAGGAAGTTGTGGTTTATACAGACAATGGAATACTATTCTGCCATTAAAAAAAAAACCCTACCATGTGAGGATGGAGCTTGATGACATTGCGCCAAGTGAAGGAAGTCATAGAAAGCAATTCTGTATGTCTGTATGTAGACATACATAGTATGCATGTGTATATTCTCACTTATGCACAGAATCTAAAAGAAATACACAAACTCACAGAAAATCCAGATTTGTGGCTAACAGAGGGAAGCGTGGGGTGAGTGGGAACTGGACGAAGGTGGTCAAAGGTGCAAACTTCCGGTTGTAACAAAGTTCTGGGGATGTAATGTACATGAGTGTATGTACATACATACACTGCTGAATGGTGTATTTGAAATCTGTTAAGAGAGTAGATCCTAAGGGTTGCATCACAAGGAAAAAACTTGCCCTTTTTGTTGTGGTTGTTTCCATGAGATGATGGATGTTAACTTACTGTGACAATCATTTCACAACATATATAAGTCCTTAGGCTGTATACCTTAAATTTATGCAGTGCTGTATGTCAACTAAATCTCAATAAAATGGAAAAATTAAAAAAAACCGTATAGCATAGTGGACAGTATGAAAAATTATACAGTCCAATGCATCGAAGCAAATAACCCACACAAACAGTTCTCAATCACTTTTACATGGGAATTGCCTTTTACGAAAGGTGTAATTGTTCTTAATAGTTGAGTACTGGGCAATCTACGAAAGGCACACACTAAAACAAACAAATGCATTCTCCATCGCTATGGGGCCAAAGGCCAGAAGCCCTGGGTTTGCGGGCAGCTCAGTCACTTAGCATCACGTGACGGTAGATAAGTTAGGGAACATCTAGCCTCTGTTTCCTCATTGGCAAGACGGGGACCATGGTTTCCATCTTGAACGGCTGCTGCAAGAATTAAATAACCTCATCTACGGAATGAAAAGCCCCAACGCAGCATCTGACACACAGAAGTCTCTTTCGGTCTCAGAAAAATAAGGACTCAAAATGCGCACATACACAAACACCCTCTCTGCCCTAGTTTCACATAACGATGCCCAAATTTGCAACCTGGAATCGAAGGCTCTTCATATATGCAAATGGAGCAAGGTCTAACCCTTCTGGAAAGGCACATGGGCTAGGTCTGTACAGCCTGCCGAGGCTCAGTGCCCAATGACACGACCAGGCACAGATGTTCTCCACTTATTTCTATGGACTTCCCATTAAACCTCGTTTCCTAGCTGATTTCCCCCCGTGTCTGAGAGTTTGCTCAGCGTCTCCCTTGGCTTCTCCACTCCCATCTCAGAACACACAGCATTTTCTAAGTGATTCTTCACCTGCTTGGCTACTATCAACTCCCTTTTTTCCACCGAAGACTTTGGACCACATGTGATGCCTGTGTTACCAAGTTTCCTCTTGACCTATTCCCTTAATCTCACACGAACTGCGATGCCTGTCTGCCACTGACCTCACACTATCCTTTCTGCAGAAGTAAATTCTTCCTGCTAGCTAAAGCCACCAGCCTCACGGGACCCCTCAACCTATGGACTTCCCCTCCTGAGGTCCCTAAGATGAAGTTTCCTCGTCTAAAGTTGGCTTTGCTCTCTCTCCTTTCTGGTTCCTCCTTCTCCTTTCGCTCCACCATGCCTAGAAACTCCACCCAGCCCCAAGGCCTTGCTGGTGCACACCTGCCCCTCCCAGGTACTCCGCGGGCCCCAGCTGCCAAACTGCATTCTGGCTCCAACCTCTCGGCCAACCTCAAGCCTCAGGTTTTAAGGACCAAATCCTGAAGACCTCACCTGAAAACGACCCCATGAACTGAGAGAAGGGACTAGGACTTCTGGATTCATCAGAAACACCTGGGAAATTCCATGTTAAATAGCCATTCATTCTCTTTAAGTATAAAGAGGCTCTGACTTCCATCGTCCACCAAGCATCAAAATTTAGGACAGATCTAGTAGTTGAAAAATTAGGTAAACCATTCCTTTTCTAGCTCTAAAGAAACAGAAAAAAGTCAAGACTGAATTAACTATTTACATTTCAAAATGTTCAGATTGATCAGCTAAAACAGTCTGTTCTTATTTTTAAAATTTCACACTTACAATGCAGTATCTAAGATATAAAAACAATTGAATTGTTTAGGTGGCTATTACTGAAGAAAAACACCAGGTCGCTTATTTTGGATCTATTTAAGAAAACAACAGAAACATCTGTCACTTCTTATAGCAGTTTTTGTTGTCCTTCCCACTGGGTGGCAAAAATATGCTCCAACTGCCTTTCATTAACCTGCTGATCTGGAGGTGATTTGCTCCCCACTGACGACAAAGAATCTGTTCCACTGAGTTTTGGTCAAAAACAACAATTAAATCATCATTTAATTTTGCAAGCACTAAAAGAATTTCAGATACTTTAAAAGAAAAGAAAAACATCTTTTAAATGAAAAGCATGACCTCCCCAAATGAAAAATTCATTTATCTGAGTTGCCACAAGTCTTTAGGTAATAGCAAACCACAAAATGCAGTTCTTGGGTAAAACAAATGAAATGTTCCTAACAATTCTAAGTTTAAGCACATCCATTCAAACCGTGTTGAGTACTTAGTTCATGTCTCTGTCACCATGTAAAAATCTTACTCGGTTCTCCCTTCCCTGACTGCTGCCATGGACTGTGAGGTCTACAGACTGCGGAGTACAGATACAGGCACTATGACGCGTGCATCCCCTCTGACAAATCCAACTCAGGGAGCTAGGGATTCCATGTCTGCCTGTTCCTCTGTATATTCGAGGGGGGATGTATGTCTCTTCTAGGCCGTTGTTGTTGTTGCTCTTGGCCTACCAGGAATTATCCCTTCCCTGTTTGCAGTTTCCACAACAGCCCAAGTGGAATGATCCAGAGGCGACTTCCACCCCACAAAGCCTAAAGCCTCATCTACCGCCTTCTGGAATAAGATTTCCTGGAGTACAGTTTCAGTCTGTCCCTTTGCTTTGCCAAAGACAGATCCGCCTACTGGCTATTCTTTGCTGTAATGACAACAGTGCCCTAAGACAAACAACTTATTCTTAGGGGAAAACAATTCATTTCAACCATCCCATGTGTTCCCCAACAGCCACTGATTCGTATCACTCCTCCTCTGATAACCAACTTACCCCAAAACACAAAGGATTACCAAAAGACAACTGAGCGCGTGTGAGGTAGTTAGCGGAATATCTATTCCATCGCACTGCTTCCTCCTTGTTTTTTTTTTTAAGATGATGAAATCTTTATAAGCAAAACGATGATTAATTCTCATCAAAAAGATGACCATTTTCTCCCGACAAAGTCTTTGCTGAATCCCCAAATCTAACATAAAAAAAAATGACTCACTTTTAAGCAAGTTATTGCTGGGACTTCAGTTTAGAGAGCTATAACGCTGGAAGAGGTCCGTTTTATGGGGCCATTTGGACAAAACTCGCCTTTTTTAGGACACGGGCTAGAACAAACCTCTCAGCTAATCCTACATTTCAACGTTTTTAGCCGTATACATTTTGGAATCTTCTGTGTGTCCCAGCACACACAATATGGATCTAATTAGGTCCAGCTGCCTTATGTTAGTAATAAAATTGAAAGAAAAAAAAAAAGAGGTGGGGGTGGGGGCTTCGTTCACCCCTCCTATACCCCGGTGATCACAAGCTCGCAAGTCGTGCGCATCCTCTATGGTCACTCAGGGCAACACACGCTTCTAAAATCCCCCAGCGCGCCCGGGACCCCGCTCAGCGTTCAGCGCTCAGTCTTCTCAGCTGCTGAGTTTTCTCTCTCCCTCTGGAAGAGATTTACTGACGGGCTGGAGCCCAACGCTCCGACGCCACCCACCGCCCAGGCCCCGACGCACCCCGCCCGCTCCTGGGCTCAAGGACTTACACCAGCGCCGACGGACAGGGCATCTGGCTCCAGGCACAGTTGTACTGAGCCTGAATAAAACTCTCACTTCCCTCCAGCACAGAGCAGCTCACATTCTTGTTCACGATGTAGGCGCACCAGTTCCTGGGGTGAAGGAGAGAGAGCGAGAAGCCACAGTGTAAACCCCGAGAACGATGAGGCTGGGGGAGAACCGGCCAGCGGATAAGAGCCGCGGACCCAGCGAGGCTCCTGGAGCCCCGCGTCTCTGCGGAGGAGGGAGCCCCGCAAAGCAGCCAATGGAGGGAGCGCGGCTGCGCCTTCGGGGAACGCGCACCTTTAGCCAACAAAAAAAGTAAAGTGCCTGTGGTCTCAGGGGCTTCCATAATTCCTGGTCGCCCTGCTCTGCGGGACACTCCCTGCGCCCCGCGGCCCCGGAGGCAGCACTGCTGAAAGGGCTGGCAAGATCCACCGTGCGGGCGGTGGAGCGCACGGCCCTCCCGGGAGGAGTCGCCACCCGGGCAGCCCAAGGGGGACCCCGGCTGCTGCTCTTCGCCTTCCGCAGGGCAGCTGTGGGTCGGGGAGGAGGAGGCTGGGGGCCCTGGGCTCGGTGCGGGGATCCGGGAGAGGGACGGCGCACTTACTTGTTCCTGGCTCCCGGCCGCGCGGGGTGCATGGGCTGCGGGCCGGCGTGGCAAAGCCCTGCGCCGCCCAGGGTCAGCAATGCCAGCGCCCAGCGCCAGGACGCGCGGGGCCGGGGCCGTGTCCGCTGCCACATACTGCGCGCGGCGGGCGCGCCCCGCCGGCCGGATCCGGAGCGCTGAGGGTCGAGGCTGGCGCCGCGAGGCTGCGGGCGGACGGGGCGCGGCCGGAGAAGGCAGGAGAGGCTTGGGTGCTTGGCGACGCCCACACCCGCACTCCGCGGCCACCCCCTCCGGCTTCTCGCTCCCACTTCTCCTTTCCACCCCGTGCGCCCGCGCTTCTCCTCGGTCCCTCAATGACGCACAGGTCCCCCCGGGTGCCGCCCTCTTTATTTCACTTCCCTCTCCGAAACGTGACTCTCCTTCCACCACGGCTCCCTGTCTCCGGTGCCCTTGCCTCTCGGCAGGGGGCTTGGGGGGAAAGGGCTGAAGAGTTTAGGAGAAGGGTCTAAGTTACAGAATTTCCAATTACTCATTCCTTTGGTCTCTTCCCAGAAGAGGAGCAACTCCGCCTCCCACCTTCCAGCAGGCGCGCCCCGGCCCCTTGGGGATGCGGCCGCAGCCGGCGAGTCTGGCGGTCCTCACGTCGTGCCTGCTGTGCCCGGTGCCGGCTCCCCAGAGACAGTGAGGGACATCTTTATCAGTCCCTGGGAGGGACGCGACTCGGGTTGCCTCCCCTGGCAGGACGTCTCCATTCCCCCTCACATTTGGACTTTAGAGTCTAGGGGGAAATGAACACGGATGCTCTTCTCTTAACTCTGCCTCATGCATCCATTTCAGTGTCCAAGTGAGCGTGCACGGCAGCGGGGAGACAGCCCCACACTTCACAACAGCGACGGAAGCACAGCATCAGACTCTAATAAACGCCACACTACATTTTGAAAGATAATCTGGCAGTCTCTGCTTCTCGTGTCCTACTCTGAACTTTTTCTGTCAACATGAAAGGCCACAATGGTCTCATTTGCTCCTCACAGTTCAAACACTGCTAGACCTTGGTCTTTTCGCTTGCTTACATATTTTCTGCCTAGAGTTACAGTAATCTCCACCAATTTCTTTGGGGACCAAGCAACTCCACAGAAGAATGTCACATAAAATCCCTACCAAAGTGTTGTATGCTGGGGTGTATTTCAATCAATCCGCTTTTCTAATGAGCACTAGAGTAAGGTTATTTGCAGACCGCATAAACTACAGTTTCCGTGAGTGAACAGGTTGTTGTTGGCTGTGGCCTGTTATATGGACAGGAAACATTTGCTGTGTTCCCTAAATGAAGCCATTGGTCCATTTTATCTCTAATATGCCTTGAGGATGTTGTTGGGCTTTTTGATTTGCAAATGAAAGAAAGGATATTCCCTAAGCAAAAATTTCACAAAAGCCAAGCAGAAACTTATGCCATGTAAGGAAACAGTCCATCCATGAACTTTCTTAAACAGAAGATCACACACATAATGGGCTGAAGTCATCCCAGCCTTCAGAAGAGCCACCCAGAGGGGAAAAATCACAGAAAGGGATAAAAAAATGGTCTTGCATAACCCAATCTGTGTTTTTGTGACTTCCCATCGTCCCCATCCTAACACCATTTTTGTTCATGAAGAGTCATAGGGAAGAAACAGGACACAAAAAATGAAACACAAATGATGCATGTCTATACCCAGCAGCTAACCACAATGTCTCTTCAGTACAGGTACTCTCAAACTTGAGAGCGAGTTGAACTGATGAGGTCAAAACTACCTTTTCCATTGAATTAAAGTTATACTAGGAAGGTGTATTCTAGTCCAAGAGCTTGAGGACCAACTTTCCATTGAGATGACCACAACACTATATTTAATCAGCTATAAATAGTACTTACCAGTAGATAAATTTTATCCTGAGCATCTGAGATAAGCTAGGCATTATGTGAAAATAGCGAGGATTCACAAGTGAGCCAAAACTGACCTAGGTTCTGTGTTTACAGAGCTCCCAGGCATTCCTGTGCAGTGAAGGGTGGAAATTGTCTGATGTACAATGAAGTGAGACAGTATTTGTCACATATGTTTCTCTAGACATGTGCCCACCTGTCTGGGTGAGGAGCTGCTCTGGGAAGATGGGGCTGCTCTGGGAAGATGGAAGAAGACTTTTGACTCTTAGGAAGACTTGAGACCAAGATCTCAAGGGACCCTCTTCCCTTTCTCTTCTCTAGCTACAGGAACAGACACATCAAACTTGGGAACCAGAAAGCCATCTCCAGAAAGCAGAGGGAAGAATCCTGAGGATAGAGAGCACATTAGGAGACAGACTAATAAGGCAGGTCAAGCAACCTTAGCCATAAGGAATAACGGCCGAGTCACTGGCAGAATGCTACTAAGTGTGAATTCTTTATAAGCTGCCAAATACTTTAAAGAACCACTTGAAAACTGTCAGTTTCTTATCACAAATCTGAAGGCATTTCCTCTCCTTTTAAAATCAAAGTGCCCCATAGTTACTCCCACTCTGTGTGACCAACTTAGTTAAAGCAAAAATGCAAAGTTAGACCTGCTTCTTAAAACCTATTCCCTCACTGTTGGTCATGATAAAAATGCCCATCAGGCTCTGTACTTGGGGGCATATCTCACTGCTTCACGAGAAGGGCCCCCAGTACCCCCAGACTCCCTTTCAGTTACCTGGTGGAGGAGAGTGGGTGACCATCACCAGGGGTGGGTAATTTTCCCCATCCTCACATTTAGTCATCAGCACATGATTCTTGATCAAGATGAACTGATTTGCATCTAGGATGTATGTGGTCAAGAGTCTTAAGACTAGCCTGGGTGTCCCATCCTTCTCATTTCTTGTCTTTGCTTTCTAGAACTCAAAAAAGTCCCCCCTGATATCTAGGCATACTCTTAGGTGTCTTTACTGCTTCTTTGTGCTGCTTATCTAATGAGGAGGGGGAAAAGTCCTTGAAGACTGGGTATCTTGAATAAATTTTGATTTCAAAGCATTCCTAACATAATATACCCTACAAAAATGCCTTATACATTCATAAGTTAATGATAAGATGCGCTTCATTAAAAAGAAATTTAAGTTGGTAGTGAAAGAGAGACAGAAATATCTCTGAGAAAAATTAACTGCACTCTAGCTTGGTCTGTTTTGGAATGCAAATGTTTGGTCAATACAATTTTAATCAGTTACATTTGATATAGGCATCCACTGGGCAAGGCACCTTCAGAATGAATTCAGTGAATCCCTAGACTTTAAAATTTACAAACAGCAGCTACTTTCCTGTCTTATCAAAGACTTTGTTCAAATAGACCAAAACAAAACAAAGAACAATTGCTCTCTTCAACTTTTCTTAATGTACCTATTTGCGAATATCCCATTTGCTGTGTATAGCTAAAGATTCAAAAATCTCAATATCTTCAGAAGCTGACTGGTCTTATTTATCAGTTGATTGATTTGGTGACATTATTAAGAATTATGGCCATTATTTTAATCATCTCTCTTGAGAGATACCAGGAACAAATCTCCCTATATGATCAGGGGTGTGTGACTTAATATGTTTTAAACTATCACACGAGAACTTCAAAATTGTGAAAAGTTAAAATCATGCCTGAAATCACACATGAAAACAAACAGTGGTTAAGAGTTCATGCAATGGAGTTAACATACTGTTCAAAATTGGGTACCCTTGCCTCTTAGCAGAATGATCTCAGACAAGTAGGCCTCTCGATCCTCCACTTTCTGCTCTGAAAATGGGAATGCCTTGTGGGGCTGTTGGGAGATTAGTTGGGTTATCACATGTGAACTGCCTGGCACAGTGCCAGGCTTATTGACAAGTGCCTGGCAAGTGGAAGATGAATATTCACAATTGTTACTCTTACCACATCAGCACTGCAACAAATTTGCAGTCAGGTTCAGGAGTTTTGTCATTCTTTGTTGGTGCCAACTGACGTGGGCAGCGGACCATGTACTACCCTTCTTCTTCTTTCTAAGTAAGAAATATATGAAGAAATGGTTGTCATGAAAGCACATGCATGACTCATTTGGAATGACTAATGTAATAGTCAGGAATGGAATACTGGATTCTTGACTTCCAGCCCAGTTTTCTTTATTATTGCCCCCAGGGGGGAACATATAGCTCAGTTTATTGTTCAGGAGATTTCATCCTCTACCAAAAAATTTTAGGACAATTCAGTGAGATCTTTGGAAGGATCATTAACTCTACAAAAATAAACTCAGATTATCAGGCAACTCCGTTGTGAACTTCTTCTTTCTCAAAAAGATGAAATTAGTTTCTAATTCCATATTGCTTAATTTTTTTCAGATGTTTCTTTGTCCCAAGAATGCTTCCTATAGCCAAATAATATGTTTGAGAATTCATTGCTGTTACACTTATGGTGTGGTTTTGAATACATTTTTTCTTTATAAGAAATAACTGACAAAAATAGGCTCTTTGGATTTGATTTGTTTCCAAGAGAGCTGCAACAGCTTAGGCAGTAGTGTCTTCATATATAAGCCACATCAAACTATGTTGTAGTTCATCATTTATTTATTGAATAAGAGTCGATTATTCTGGAATCAACAAAATGTTCCAAATAGAATATGTTTGATGATTATAAAATACATTATTAAATTTTACCACCATCTTGATCTATGCTCATTCAAAAAGTATTCATGAGCAAATTATTCTTTTTAGTATTTCAGATTATGCAGTTCTGAATAATGTGATGAGTACTTAAGTATGGTCAATTCTCCTTATTTGATATAGTATGTTGTATAAAGTTGCTGCCAACACTGAATTAGCTAATACTGAACAATTGCTCCTAGGGGAAATATAGGGTAGGTTCCTACAAGCCTCTGGTCACAAAGGATTTTGTCAACCAGTCAATACATAACCTTGTGTTACATGTGTTTCTATTTAAAGATACCTTATTCAATACATAACATTGATTCTGTAACATCAAACTCATGGCCAACATCACTGTAACTCATGCCTGAACAGAGCTTAACTAACACATATTTTCTCCGTAAGGCATATGACAGCCTTGTGCTTAGGAACACTAGCTAGCACTTTGGCAATATGGTTGGGAGCCATTTTAAACAGCAAAATCACCAACAAAGAGCACAAAATGAAAGAAAAAAAAAGTGACACTAAATTTACCATGAAAAGGACACTTACTTGTAATATGAGAGGGAAAATAAGAAGGTAGAGCATTGTCTTGCTGGATATTGGCTGGGAATAAGCACGTCAGGCAAGGAAGTGTTTGCCTCCCTGCACAAGT